AAAACAAGAAATAAAATACTTACTTAATATTCTTTTTTCTTGCTGTCAGGTTTGGAAGAGAGTTAACCCTAATTTTTTTTATACTATAGATAGTAATGCACTTAATATTTTTTATTTAATTAAATAATGCACCAAAGAATATAGACTAATAACAATCAAAAAGTAGACAAATGCACTTACTTCTCAAATATTCCTGGCTTTCTAACTATGTGACAAAAGCCATTACAAATTCATCCAAGCTAGTCATTAACTTTCCCATGTGAACGAATCTTGTACTGAGTGAAATTGGCGATATTCTCTTCAGAATATAACGTTATACAACAGTCATTTGATAAATGAAAATCTTGACTTTCTATTGGTTATAGGTAACATATTTTTGCGTCAGCCAGGTCACGTAACTAGTATCACGCCACTTCTTTCTCGAACCTTCGTGAATTGTCGGGAGATTACTAGATTGGGGGGTAGTCTGGTATATATAAAATGGTCACAACGTGACGGGACAATGTGTAGGTAATGAGTAATCGAACTGCAGTCAGAGAGTGTGTAATTGAACTGAGTATTGTCGAGCACGAGAAAGACGTTCTTTGAGAATTATAGCGTTGTTATAGAGCGACTGTTGAAATTAAGTGTATCGGTAAAATTGTATTCGGAAAGAATAAACCAGTTTTATTTAAGAAAGGACTTGTGTCGCTAAAGTTTCGTCGGAACGAATTTATGGAAAATGAACTAACGACTGGAGGCGTAACAATATAATGAAATGTAAGTGAGAATTATCAACGAATTGTGAAAGAGAAGATGTGGCAGGAGGGGCCTGATTTGTATTCAATAGCTTGTAACAAAGCAAAATTGAAGGCTATAAAAATTATGGTTTGTTTGAGCAATAACGATTTTATGGAGAGTATTTTACGTTTAATTTCGCACATTTTCAAGGGGTGATGGATAAAATAGAGATGGTGACATGCTGAGACAAAATGTGTCATGCGGGTCACACTAGTGGAAATTCATAATTTTGTAAAATATTACTTTGTAGAATTAAGGACTTAAAACTTGTATACTCTCAAAATATGGATTATTAGCTAAGATTTTATACTATTTTAATTCATACAACATAAACAAAAAGTAGTTTAATAAAATTTTGAATGTGAGACACTAAAACCTTGTGTCATGCGCAGTAAAGGGTATGTGGGGCGAGAGGGTAAATGAGACTGAAACAAGCAGTAACAGTGTAGGTCTCACAAGGGTAAATAGTGTTTCTATAGACAGAAAGTGTTACTATACTTCCATAGGACTGCATACAGATTTCATTCTGTCTCAATTTATGTTTATAGTTTATATTTATATACACATGTTTTATAAGTGCAGAGGATGTTTCTATAGATAGTGTTACCAACACTATTAATGTAGTATATTTAAATATAGTTTTCAGTTTTATATTTAATTTGAATGGCACACTTTTGTATTTTCTGGTGTTTTATATGTAAAATGTTTATCACTAATTCATTAGTTTTCGTTTCTATAATATATTGTATAGCATCTATTATCCCTGTAAAGAACGTTCTTTTGTTTGGAAGTAATGACATATGGTGATTTTAGTAGATTATAGTTTTACTCTATAATGAAAAAGGCTCCTGGCATGTTGCTAAATGAAGTAACATTCTAAGGTCATATTTGATGGATCACTTTGAGGAATGTCCCTTATGATTTGTTGACACAGATTTATTATATTTGATTAGTTACATACTAGAACACTTGGATATACTGTAGATATTATACTGGACTGTATGTATACTGTGAAGACTTCGTGTTTTGTGTGTGTATGTGTTTTTTTTTTACAATGAGGAGTTGTCCAGATGGTGGAGAAGACAAGGGATATTAATCTGAAGAAAATGACTTTGTTTAAACAATTGAAATTTAAAGGTTCTTTTCAGGGCCATCACACTCCGAGAAAGAGAAAGCTATGTTTACACATTTCACCTCTACTGATGAAAAGGTTTCTCACTTCTAATATTTACAATGAACATCAGCATTAATCTGTTGTCTGATCTTATTTGCAAGTTTTCAGTGAATGATTAATTATAAATCTCAACAGTTGATCTAAGATCATAATCCTCTATTTAATACTTGAAGTGTTGTGAATACATGTTTCAGTGCGTGTGACATCAGTCTTATTTAGAGTTTCTGATTTACTTACATGCATTAATGATATCATATCTATATGGAGACTTGTATTAGCCAACATTATGCATAAAGTTTCAAACCAGCAAGAAATAATGCTCTAGACAAAGATTTGTGAAAGGTGGAGATATAATTTTCTACAATAGTAATGCTTATACGTAGTTATCTACATAGATCTTTTATCTATCTATCTATATCTATATATATATATATAAATTAGTCCAAGATAAAGTTAGCATTGCCATCTGTCGTACAAATGTAGTGTTATTTTTATTGGAACTTGTTTTAAGTGATCTGTTTTATAAAGTACCCTCTATGTTGATGCTGCCAACGTTAAAGGGAGTTATATTTAGCAAAGTGTAAATTAAAAAACAGATTTAACTTTGATTTAAGTTATCAGTAATAACTGTGGCTATGTTGTTAAATCGTGACTCCACGCCACTGCGTTTCTTCCTCTGCTCTTCCAATACATTATTTAAAACAGGCACATATTCCACGTTTGGCTTCCCCTCTGTATGTGCCCCCAGAATATTTAGTCTATTATGTATATACTTGATAACGCACGTGTATAAACAGTATAATGGTGTAAATCACTGGTTTTATCTGACACGAACAACAGCTTGTCTTGTGCTCTGTAAAAAGACCCTGACATTGATAAAAAATTAATATTTTGTCGCTGAAAAAGACTGCATTGACGGACTTATAAAACGCGAGGTCACACGCGGCATATTAATCAAGATCACACAGTAAACTAATAGATTGTGCGCTAGAGGAAGATTCTCGTTAAATAAATTTTAAAAACTAATGCTCAAATTAAAGATTAATTATCCGATATTTGATCCCACTTAAAAATAATGAATACATCTCAATAGCAAATGTTATATTTTATTCATTAGCGAAGAGCTGCAAACGGTCGCCATTCTTGACTGAAGTTTCGTCGCAAAAACTGAAATTATACTTCAAGTAACATATTTTAATTTTAAGATATTTTACATATGCAAAAGTAAGGAATTGAAAGGTAAATATTTATAAAAGAAAATTTACATGCAAATGTTTATAATCTAAGTAATGGATTAGTGTAATAAGTATTTTTCTTCTTGATGTCTTAGGTGATGTTTTGGTAAAAAAATTCATCTTGTCAAAAAACATAATGACCTTTTACTTTGGCCCATTCCTGAGGGCTAGTCTACTATCGGAGATATCCAGTCGGGACAATACAGAAAGAAACAATAATAAGAGGGAAAGAGTTTTTTAAGTCGTATTTAAGACGATAAGGACAACACGAACAGGGAACTAAGAAGTAAAGGTAAATATCCTCACAAACCCTGTGTTATTAAATGGTACACAACAAATAACACGCACTTCAATCAGCTGATTTATATAACATCATTTTCTGGGTTCGACCCAGCTTTACTGAAATGTTGTAGTATTCCAACAAACAAGAGTGACCTATAAGACGGGAGAAATAGAAAATACAGTGAGGCTATTAAGATATATTTTACTTTCATTACATCTGTTTTTGTTTTTACTTGATCACTAAATAGCAGGCATCACGACTAATACTCTCAATCTATATTCCGACAGTTGTTGTTTTTGTTTGTTATTAAGCACAAAGATACACATAGGGCTATCTGTGCTCTATCCGCCACGGGTATCGAAACCCGGTTTCTAGTAGTATAAGTCCGCAAACATACCGCTGTGCCACTGGGGGGCTGTTCCGATATATCAAAGTCTTATGTAATCATAATTTTTATAAACAGGATATCAGCTCTTTGATACTCTTTTCGAAATAACACTTAATAATGCTATGTAGTTTGCTAACTTAGAGAACTGATAAGCTAGGACCTCAGAGAATTCAGTTCCATTTCAGTGTGACTGTTTAGTTCGGAGGACTGATAATTCTGAAACATGTTTGTTTTACTTCATTGTGTTCTATAAGCTGTACTGACTCTCGTTTATTCTAATCCTAATCTAATCTATTGTAAATGAGGAAGAAATGAAATGCATTGCGTGATTAATTGTCGCTTATGTTGTTTTTATTAAAGTAATGCTCATTTTTTTCAGTGTCTTGTTGTCCTGAGTAAATAATGAAAGAAAACTATAATAAACTAAAAACATATCATTACATGTTATATATAAACCAGTGAGAACTGCAGTTTCGAATAATTTCTACTTTTATAAGCTCAGATAAAAGGATCCTAAGTATTTTCATCCACAGGAAATGTTAGTGGGGAAATATGCAGTTTATCAATACTAGATTTCCCCTAGGAAGTAACTCACATTAATTATACCTTAATCGGGGAAACCACACAGCATATGGTTTCGGCATATTACACCACAAGATTTTGTGACATCAATAATTTCTACTGGAAGAGAAAGATGGAAACTGTACTTATTAATATTAAAATATTCCACCAGGGGTATTTGGTAATGTTTGTTTTGAATTTTATACAAAGCTATACGAGGGTTATCTGCGCTAACCGTCCCAAATTTTTAAGTTAGCTACTCTTGTACCAACGAATAGCGGGATTGCCTGTCAGATTATACAGGCCTATGGTTGAAAGGACGAGTATGATCGAGAACGGGAATTCGAACCCGCGACTCGCAGATTGCGAATCGGGCGCCCTAACCACTAGGCTATGTCAGGCCCATTTGCTAAAAAAGAAATATAATAATCTATTTACCAAAACTAGTCACAAACTGATGTCAGTTAATTCAAAGATAAAAATATTTTCAGCATTATTTTGGCACATTTTGCCTAATTTAAATCTTTCTTTTGTGTGATAAATTTTATTTTGTCTTATCATTTGATACAGGACACCAAGCCTTTGTTTTCAATTCGTTAATATGTGTTCAGTGCTGCTATTTTCAAGTGTGTAGGAGATAAAAAATTCGGAGGTTACTTTTTAATGGCTTATCAGATAGACCACAAAACATTGTTAACTACAGTACTGACTAAACTATCCGAATGAAGTCTGCTTTTATAAAACCTGCGAAGATAAACCTAAGTGTTTTTTTAACCTTTTTGTGTAATTTAATTCCTGAAAGTTGTGACATTTGACATTAGATAAAGTAAAATTCGTGGCTTATTCTTATAGACTGAATACAATTGTAAATGATAATCATCCAAGTTGTAATTCTGATAGGATTCTCGTTCACTGTTTACGTAAGGTGTTAGTTGTATTATAGCTACTATTGTTTTTTTAAGGTGTTAATCCGATATGGTTTCAGTTAATTGTTTTAATAAGGTGTTAAAAAGACAAAGGAATGAGAACGAATCAAAATGCTGAAAAAGTTTCAAATATTTGGGAGTTAATATCTCGCCGATAGTTTCTTTCAAACTGTTCTGTAGATTGGCAGCATATAAAGCCTGCGAAAAAAAATTAGAAAGTGGCATAACTCAATGACAAACATGTAGAGGGTCTACAAAAAAAAATACTAAATTAGGTTTATGTTTTATGACCAGTTGCTATAATGTCTATCAGATAGTAAAATAGTAGGATAACTCGTTAACTATTATATATGTTTAAAATATATATATACAAATGACCGAGTGCTTAGCGTGCAGGACAGTACATATGGGGTTCAGTTATTCGCACCTATTACTGCAAAACAAAACAAAAAAACCATCGAGCCGTATATTGGGCCACGGGTGCGTTATAAGAATTTAGTGACAAAAAATTGCAACCCACGTAATGGCCTTCAAACGTTGAAAAGAAAAAAACAAATACGTCCCACGTTTCGGCCTTCAAAATTCGACTTCCCGTAGGGTAGTTGTAAAGGCGAATCCGGTCCTTCCATATATTTCATAGCATCCTAATATAGCCTTGACACGGTTATTATTGTTAAGTCGAAAAACAGATGTACGGCACAGCAAGATGAAATGTGATTTTGTTATTTACACATTCAGGGATTTGAAAGTGTTTGAGATGGAGAGAGATATACAGTTAGTAAAACGCTCCGACTTCTTCAAACATTACTCCAGAGAAGCTCTTCTAAACCAATTTTTCCAAAAAACATTATTATAGCCACAGCTTTGTTTATTAAAGAAGTTCGTGTAATGCTGTTGACAGAATTTAACACTTATATTGACAGTAGTCAAAAAGTAAAAACTATAAAGAGGATTGGGCCGAGTGTGATCCAATGTTTGGCATGCCGGACTATGGATCTGAGGTTTCGTGGTGCGCGTCCTGTTACTACGAAGAAAAAAAATCGCTCCGATTTTTATGGTCGCGTGTATTTTAACGGAGTGACTGTCAAACCCCACTATACGATTTGACAAAAGTAATCCAAGAGTTGGCGGTGGGTGGTGTTGACTAGCCATCTGCCCTCTAGTATAAAATCATGGATGGCTTGAAAAAAAATTGTTCTCGTGTAGCTTCGCACGAAGTTAAACAGAAAAGTGGTTTGATCAACATTGGAAACATTTTCCATTGTTTCTTGCAAAACGAAACTATCCTTTGCATCGTCTTACTACACATATAAAAAGTGGATTTGCAGGTGGCGTCACTCTCGGCAACCTTTACAATAAGGAAAGCAGTTACTTTGGCCCACACATGGAGATCACGTGACTAAACTTTATATTAATTTTCAAGACCAGTACAGTGTTGATTATACACGATAACCTTGGGCTCTCTACTATACATTTGGACATGACCGAGTGGCGTTGACTAGAATTAGAGGTAAGAGTATTATAGCGAACTTAACAATTTTTAGTGGTTTATTACAACGCATTTTTGTTTTTACATATCAACAAAAGGAATATGGAAATAGTAAAACGGTACTCACAGATTTTTTAAATTTTATTTTAGGTATATAAATATAAAATTAGAAGCCTACAGACGAAGGAACTTGTATATAGTAGAATTATAATGTAGTAAAGTTTACTTCAGTTATCTATATATATATATATAATACAAACAACCAGTAAGTGGCACATTGTATTATGAAGTTAGTACTCGGAAGCTTAATGAAAAATGTGACAAATACAGGTTATATTTTGTGGCAAATCTTTAGCTTATCTATAAAATAAAGTTTATTAAACTTTGAAATGATTTTCTTCGGAGAAAGTTTTGCATCTTAATAGCAAACAATAGCAAGTATTTGTTAATAGTAAACAGAATATATATATATATATATACATATATATTCGGGGCAGTGTGTGCGTTATAAGAGTAACGGTAAAATCTTATTGTTTGATTAGTGTAATCAAAGAGTTGGGTGCTGTTGACTAAATGCTTTCTATCTAGTTTAATATCTAGTAGAGCTAGCCCATTTGTATCTTTTGTTTCCAAAACAAACAGTTCTTACGAAATGGGCCATTCATGAAAGTCGTATTACAAGCATGAACAGCTGGTAGAATGTTTCTGTATTGGTAACTAACTAGCAATATTCAGGGGTCGTCTACTTAGTTTTAATACTGATTATGAACATAATTATTTAAACCCAATTCGCCGTTATTTTAGATACATCACCCAGTTCTTTACAAATCCTTGTTTTTTTCAGTAAAGAATGTTGTCCCAGGTGCTGTCTAAACTACTAAATGACGTGGGGTGGCTTCCCACTGTCTTTGTTGGTTTGTTGACTTTCGTTATCATAAGACACTTCATGAAGAGAATGAAGTATCCACCAGGACCTTTCCCGTTACCCATTGTGGGCAATTTGTTGGGTAAGTGTCTTTTATCAAGGTCAGTAGTTAGAGATAAAGAAATAATAAGAGGGAATCCTCAATAGTCGCGGCACTTTAAAATCTTCTAGGCAGGATTAGAGTAAATTAATGTACGAGACCTTTTTTTCCCCTTTTTAACAGCTATATATTTGTGCCCCAGCAATACTAAGCGTGGGTCGTGCGGTACCCGATTCAATTTTATTACTTATCAGGATCTCTATCAGCCTACCCTCAAACTGAAATTATTTTAGGCGGGATTAGAGAAAATTAAAATCTATGAGCCCTTGGGCGTGGACAAATATAATCAAATGAAAGGGTTTGACCTCCTGAGTCCAAAACTGTAATTAGATCTCACTTCGGTCAAGAGATGGCGGAGCTACATATATACGTGTGTGTGTGTGTATATATATATATAGTTGGGTTCATACATGTCAATACATCTGTTTGTATGGCCATATCTACGTAAAAGTTCATATATATCAATATATCTGTTTATATTGTACTTCATATATGTTAATAAATATGTTTATACGGTCGTATTTACATACATTTTTTTCAATTAATCTGTCTAAATGGTCGTAACTAATTAGGAGTTCATACAAATGAAGAAATATGTCTATATGATCATAGCTAGTTAAAACTATATAAAGTACCAAAAATGCATATCTCGACGTAAACAACTAATTCTATTTTCTTGGAACATCATTTGTTTATTATGTGTGTATTTTTAAACAGCCAACTCACAGAACGTGCCTCAGTTGTTTTTATGGATTTAGTTCTACGTTTTGACATAAGTACTATAATGTAATACACGATATTATTTTGAAAATGTTACTTACCAAAGGGAAGAGCGCACGTGAACTGTGCGAGGGTAAGCGACGGTGTGGTAAAGGAGTCCGAATTTTAAAAAGTTTAAGAACGACTGGTATAGAATCTAGATGTACAGCAGCTAGAGTACAGCACTCATCGCCTAGTCTTAATGTACTGTTGTCTAATCAGATAGTGGAGCGCCTTTTTTACTCGAATTTACAGATTCGCAGACAAAGTTTATTAATCATAGACTACGCTTAACTATTTCATTAAAATCCTTTGTTCCTTACAGTTTACATAGAACTATCCAATACATTCCCAAGTAAATAACTGTTAGTATAGTGCACTATAGTGGGATCAGAATGTGTGCCGATAGACTAATCTGCATATCTTATTATTTAATATAAAAAATATAGTAAGTGAAGATTTGATTTTTGGGCAATTCGTGGACGTAGTTTACTTGAACGTGGTGTTACAACTGAAGCACAACTGACTTAACTTGTTTTACTTTAAAACGTTAAAGGGCTTTCAAACTGTTATTGCACCGATCTATGTAATTAAAAAAACAATGTGTCAGTCAGTCCTTGTGTGTATGCGTGCTCTCTCACCTGGAAATCCAATACTCCTATTGGCTAATTGTACAGTGGTACTTTTACATTTATATGAGTGCAAAACTATGGCGTTTATGACATAAATTTTAAAGACAATTACTTAAGTAACATAAACAAACACACAAGGAAACACTTCTGTGGTTTATAAATAACACAATATTCTTACATCTCAATAAAAATTCTAACAGGCGCCGTAAAATTTATAATTAGGCCTGAAGTTGAAATACCCTTCCTACGAGAAGCACGAGTTTACTCGCTATATAATCTACGGCACTTAGCCTTAATAGTCACTGCTACAACTTCATTCATTTGCGATGTCCTACAGCTAACACAAGTAACAGAGTGCGCGAAAGAAAATAATTACAGGTTTCAGGTGATATTGAAATATGACTTAGACACATACACACAAGAAATTTACAAAAAATAACAAATACACGATGACTGTTGATTTTCACACCACTTGATACCATATTATTAATAATTCACTATTTTGTAGCTGTTATACGTTTCCAGCAATCTCAATAAAAATCGACAATTAGGCTTAATGTTTTCAAAAAAGAGTTGATACCATCAGGAAGGAAAAAGAAAAAGAAGTGAAGTAATGACAAAGAAAAACAGTTGATTTTTACACTTCTTAATACCATACATTTGTTTTTAAATCGATATTTTATCTAATACTACTAAATCTGCTGGTCGCGGGTTCTAATCCCCCTC